TCTTTGAAAGTTGTGTCTGCTTTGGGGAACACCGATGGAGAGAGAGAGAGAGAGAGAGAGAGAGAGAGAGAGAGTCTGAAAGTGAGTTTAAAATAATTGTTGAATCAGTTGAAAAGGAGACGAACGCTTCAGTAATCAGTACTTTATTATAGGGAGAAAATAGATTCAAAATAGTGAGGCACTGGTTGTGTCATATATGGTATCTATAGCGTGTACTGCTTTCTAATCTTAATATAGACTACAGTTTGCTCCCTTTCCCTCTAATTTAAGGACTCATATCCCGAGTTACTAATTATTTACAAATTCCCGTTAAATTACCGATAATTTTGAATTAAATCTATATACCGGACTTATATATTGGACCATATGTAGGAAAACATCAAGGTATTTGATGTGTGAAGCGCTAATTAAATGCCTTTTTTGAAATTACTGTTTTTTGTGCTCTTTTATTGTCACCAATTTTTCGGACAATTGTTTTGACAATAATTTTTTTTCGCTCAGTTTTAGCCGTAATTGTGATCTCAAGTGCTGTTGACTTAAAGGTAATAAAGTTTTAGGAATTTAACGATTTGTTAATTTAGTATACTTTTAAAAAAGTTGTTTTGCATGGGCGATATATATCTGGTACTCTAATTCCAGGCTAATATAATAGTGTGAAATGTGTTTTTGTCAATAGATGTGCACTTTTGCTACAATTGATTGTCGCAAATAAAAGTCCATTACTGGCGTGGAGTTGGTGGAGGAGCTGACTCTCCTAATAGCCAGTGGACCCGTACCACCGGAACCTACCCTTTAGGCAAAAAGACTTTTGTATAGACACAGCGAGAGGAACGAGAGTGTGATTGATGTGATTTGAGGGCCAATCGATAACAAGGCTTTGAAACGAACCGAAACGTAAATTCATTGCCAATTCATAGACCAAAACATAAACCGCTCTTAAAATTAAGGGAAGAAATTACTTCACTTTTTGAAAACATTGTCGAAACACACCATTCAATCACAAAACTCTTCTCTCTCTCTCTCTCTCTCTCTCTCTCTCTCTCTCTCTCTCGGAGTTTTCATTATTTTCTTATATTTTTCTCATTTTCAGCTATAGTTTGAGTTTAAACTATTTCTAAACAATTGCTTATTTCGGAGAAGAGTTTTCTCTCTCTCCAAAGAAATAAACTTTTATTTCGAAAATTAAGTGAAAGAATTATATTTTTCTTTAGAGTTCGTGTGTTGAGAAAACACTTTTTATGAACTTCTCGCGAATGTATCGTAATTTGTATTTCAACATTATTATACATGGAATTCGTGTATCTAAACATTCATGACTTTTAATTGAGTGACAAACAACTGCTGAAACTTTTAATTTAGTTGCAAATTATAGTTCACATAATAATATTATGGTATTAATTAATATAATTCTCTAAGGCATACAGCGTTAAGACTACAGTAAAACGAGTAATAAAATATAAGCATATAATAAAAATAATTTGATTAGAATTTTATTTTCAATTGCATGAGAATCAGGAAAATTAATTTCGACATTAAAAAGAAAAATTAATATTTATTTTCATGATTATTGCAGTAGTGTTTGATTTGGATCGTACAAACCCATTAGAATTGGATTAAAAGTGAATTAAAAAGTTTTTATATGGATAAAAGAGCTCGTGATTAGTAGACCTTTGGTTTGAATAATCAATTTATTATTTGATGTGAGAATAGTTGGGAAATCGATTCAATGCCCGAATTGATTGAATTATTGAGAAGCGCTTAGCCGGTAATCAGAGGCTCAGATACGGTTGTCCCTGTAGTGGATGGGAAAGGGGGTCAAACCGATGTCTAAATTGAGATCATGAAAGGAGTCCCTGTTTCGCTGGTCTGGTTATAATGGATTGGATGAGCGTATGGTTGGTATGGCCGGGAATGTGAACGCAGGCGCGAAGATGTAATAAGTTGTAGCAGATTTGCGAGTGTTAGTCATGGGATGATAGGATACCGCTTCAGCTAAGCCCAACTACAAACAGATCGGGAGTAGAGTTGTGTATAATGTAAACAAGTAGTGACTCTCACTCTATCTCTCTCTCTCGGCCTCTCTCTCGCTCTCTCGCTCTCTCCAAACTCTCCAAACATCTCATCTCTCTTGTGATAAACTCAACAAAACTTTCTTTCGTCAAATGTTTTGCAATGTTTGTCAACGCATTCACTCTTAATAATGACTGTTCGCCACAAACGCTCATTGATTGCATCGACCACTACATCAGTCGCGAGTCCGACAACTTCAGCCACATCTGTGTTGACACAACATTACTCTCCCATCACTTATTAGATGTAAATTCGCACCACATTTGCAATTGTGTTGTTTGTCACCGACTATTGTGCCGCTACGCTAACGGTGCCCAACAAGTTTGCACAAGTAGTTCATTCACGAGTACCACTACCGGTGCTCTACTACTACCGGTAGCTATGCTCTCCGTTCTCGAGTTTTTAAACAAATAGCCGAGAGATTAGCAGAACTAAGCGACAAAATTCAATTGCGATATCAGATGTAATCCCAGAAAAGTATTCAAACAAATGCAAACGAGTAGACAAACATTATGTTGAATACGAGTCATTCAATTCAATCAAACTATTCAAACGTTTCGCAAACATTTCAGAGTTGGTCTCACAGTCTCGCGCATCAGATACTCAACGCATTGCTGTTAGTGATCGCCGGCGCTCTCCTCGCATCCGACCTCTCATACCTGTCCACCGGAATGGCTGGCATATATACCAGTGCTCTAAACGCTCACCACAGGCCAGACTCTAGGCTCCCGTCACCGCCGACGGCCGCCGCCGACCAAACGCGTGCCAACCACTTGCAGACGGCCTCCCCCGCCAACCCCAACCCCAACCCCCGGTCCAATCAGTGTCCGAGAGGGCCTCCCGTGGGCGCCCACTGGGAGCCAGAACTCGACGCCGCCTCTAAGGCATACTTAGCGCCCATTGTCTTCACCGGCAAATTGATCTCAATATCTGAGGACTACGGCGGAAGAATCGCCGCCACATTTCACGTGAAAAAGTTAATCAAAAACCAAAGTGTATTGTCCGCCCATCTGGTGCTGACCAGTCACGTGACCCTCTACTTCGTGCGGAGCAAACTGTTGCCACCCTCGCCCCCCAATTGTGCCATCTTTCTGGACGACCAGTTAGTCAATAGTCTGCGACCGCAGGAGAAGTACATTATATACGCGGCGCCGCCGTTCGCGCTGCACAGCCACCCCTCAGCCCATCATTTCAATAGTATTAATGCAAATTCACAACAATTAATGCGACCAAATGTGAACAGTGCTACCAGTGCTGATAGTGGTGGTGGTGCCGGTGCCCACACACCCACCACCCATACCACGACTCATACGACAATCAATTTAAGTGCATTCGCGTCACCAGAGGCTCACAACAAGCGCTCCACTCGTCTCGTTCGCAAAGTGTTGTGTCCGCGATGTGGTAAGTCTTACATACCCTACCCCTACATCGAGCATACACTTCCCCAAACTTCCCCAAACTTTTCCATACATTCGCACCTACACGAACGTACGCTACGAGTATCCCATGCCATACCATCCCTTCCCTATTCCTACGCTCCGACTAAAAATAAAGAGCAATAAGTGAGTGAATGAATGAATGCCTACAGACTTAATGCCTATCAATGCAATGAAGAGTCAATGAGTGCTTCTCTCACTTCCACAACACTTAACACTCTGTCTAACAGTTTCTTAGCATTAGTTCTCTCCACACAACAAGAGGTGAAAGTCTCTCATAAATAGAACCCAATCATCACTGAATGTACTCTACTTCTCATCTCTCTATATACTACTCAACCTCCCGATCCTCCCTCTCCGCCCGACCTCTCTCTCTCTCTCTCTCTCTCTCTCTTTCTTTCTTTCTCTCTCTCTCCCTCTATCTATCTCTCTCTCTCTTTCTCTCTCTCTTTCTTTCTTTCTCTCTCTCCCTCTCCCTCTATCTATCTCTCTCTCTCTCTCCCTCCCTCCCTCCCTCTCTCTCTCTCTCTCATCGCTAAAACTAATTACAGTTCGCATTCACTCATTAACTCATTGATGTTTTCATTGAACTCTTTGGTGATAAAAATATTGGAGACATTGAAACGGTATATTGAAATGATATACGAATATAATGTGTATATATTCGTGGATGTGACATGAATTGAGTTGTTTTGTGTGTGTTTGGTGTTGGGATTGTTTGGATGAGTTAATTGAGAGATGAGTCTAATTCAGGGATCGGTATCCCCTTTGCCAGAGGAATACACGAACACAATATTTATGGTAAAAATAAATTATTGTATAACATGTTGACTCAGCTGCCAGTGCTCTATGCCTGTGCCCTCTAAGTTTGATTCACTATTAAAAATAATAACCAAAAAGCTATTATACGGTATGAGTTCTCTACCATAAGATGAATGTATTTTTGTTTTAAAATTTAGTGCAAAAAGCAATCTTTCATTTGTACGATATTCTTATGATTCATGCGATAAAAGTCTAATTATTTATAAGATATACGATATATATATTCAAAGCCATTAATTTCGGAAACGCTTTGTCGCGGATCTGAACTTTTTTCAAAAGCCTTTCACTGTTTCCATGCGATTGAGTCGATGACTGCAAACCTATAGTTAAATAATAAGTGAATGAAAATAATAATATTTAGCATTTTTTGTGTTGTGTAGCAATACCTGTACTAAAAAGCTGGAGAATAGGTAGAGAAAAGGTAGTATAGGTAGTGGCCTATTGTTAGCAGATATTGTTGAGGTGTGTGTTGTATATGGCTTGGGATGTGTTGTGTGTACAGTGGATATACCGCACCAGTGATGGTGTGTTTTGTGCAAAAGTAATTTATCAGTCAAAGCTTTATTCTGCAATTCTGAGCGCAGGCATCACAGGCCAGGCATACACAACAGGCCAGTGCAGGCACACACACAGGCATAGGGACGTGGAGGTAAAACTCGGTGAAGGATGTAAATGGGACATAAACTATTGCATACTTATGTAGTGGTGTTGGTTGTGTTGGTTAGGTTAGGTTGTGTTGGTTGGGCTCAATTTTCCCATGACTATCTGTGTGGCCTGACCTCGCTATATGCTCTATGGGCTGTATTTGCTGTTTTTAACGCCTTAGTCCACATCTCATCGGCAATGGACTTCACATACAGATACGTCTTAATTTAGTGCCTCTCCATCCCTTCCCCCCCCCCTACCATACCCACCGCCGCCATTAACATAACAAACCCCTGGCCTAATGGGGGGCCACCACTCGGGCCCCCAGTTATCGAAACAACAATTGACAGAAAGGCCTGCCCTTTCAGAGTTGGCTTCAAATACCAGTTCACTCTTCACTCCGCGATTCATTGCCTTCTTGTGTGCATTTTATATGCATTTTATGTATTTTTTTTGTTAACATATAAATTGAGAAATTGATCACAAATTAGACAACTATTTGACACAATTTCTCCCCAAACCATACAAACCATACACTCGATTCATATTCATTGCGATCTCTATTAAAGCCAATAAAATATGTTTTTCATTCACTTCAGTCAACAATCGCTTTTTGAATGACATTTTCAAAGAAACTTTTGATCCCTATTTTTTAAAGTACTTTCCCATTCAATAATTTCTTTCATAAATACATTGAGATTATAGTCAATGAAAAACATTTTATCAATTCTATACCAAAGCAGTTATTATACAACAAAACACTTGTTTTCATAAATTATCGCCGAATAAATTAGTGCTAAAACATGAGTGCAGTTGTACTGTAATACCAGTTATCATAACAGGCCGTAAGTATCAAATGCTAGCAACTTATAAATTAAAAACTTTTTTGCAAGACTGCTATAAATTTTAATGAATTAATTTAGTCATTTATTGTAGACAACAGTAACTTACAATTAATACAGATAACATTTAATAAACTTTAAAAATTATCTATGATTTTGAATAATAACTTTATGTTTTTAAAAATATTTAACTTTTTTACAAGAGTTATGTACGAAATTGGAAATTATAGTTCAAAATGCGATAAATATGATAAATATGTGTGACTTGTGGTCAACTGGTTGTGCATTTGAATGGTGTGACAGAAGAATGTGAATGTCTGTGAATATGAGTTATTTTGTGTGCAGAATATTTCACTTTTTAAAACGCTTTAGAGGTGTGCAAAGAAAGTGACAGAATATTGTTTGGGAAGTCTTTCTGAGCTATAGTTCTAGTGGTGGACACTGTTGAAGAAGTATTTACTGTTTTTGCTCTCTATTTATAACAATTTCTCTCTTCTTTTCTTCTCGAAAATAAAGCGAAGACTCCTATTGTGTGGGGACTTAATGGTGATGTACGCGTCCCGACAAAAGGCAATCTCAGATTAGGGTGTAAAGTGTCCGGCAATCCATTACCACGGGTTGAATGGTTTCGAAATGGAAAGAGACTTAAGAACAGAGGGAGAGTGACGATCACCACTCGTCGGTAAGTGACACAGAATCCACTCAATTGGCAAACAAAACCTCCAGATATGAGAGACTTCCAGCAAACTCTTCAGAGAGAGACTTCCAGCCTGTGCCTAACAACTCAAACGCACAGTTAGTCTGTGAACTCATACTTTTCTGATAGTTATATAAATAAATCGCGTTCAACGCTAACACCAAAATCTCGAGCTTTAATCTCTGGAAAACCTTTTAAAATATTAGAGAAAATATCATTTCTGACATTTATTCAGAATTTACAATCAGTGCTAACATTAATAATAAAATTTTTGTAGGATTTCCATGCGAAACACAGTTTCCACAAAACAATATGATAGCAGACAATGTCTGTGCTCTCAATCCTTAGACACAAACAAATTCAATATATTTATTGAAACAAAGATTTGTTTAAAATAATAATTCAGTTCTACTTCTTGTGGTGAAAGCAAACAAAACTTTATTTGAAACCAATTGAAAGCCGTTATAATCAAAGGCTTACCGAATATTTCGCAGGAATTGGCTCAGCTTTCATTGAAAATTATAAAATAAACTTTAAATTTAAAATAATTTTCACTCCCAATGAATACAGCATTTCTATACTGCATATTGAGGTCTTGATATATTATGTAAGCTTTTATTAGAAAACAGTATTTTCTAGCCTTAAGTAAGAGTTAAAAGACTTGTCAATTGCTGCAAAAATAGCTCAAAAGGCTTTGCGTGTATTTTTAGACTTTTTCAAATTGTGATCATTTTTTGCACAACTTTTTTGTTTTTCAGGCAAACGTCTCGACTGGAAATACGACGAGTTTCGCACTTAACTGATGGCGGATATTACGAGTGCCGGGCTATGAATGTTGTGTCGCGCCAGCCATCCGTTGCCAGACAACGGGTAATCATCACCAGTCCCTCCAAACGCAGACCTTATTCATCCTCACAGACCTCTTCCACGTCCACAAGAGGCCCGCTTTGGCCTCAAGTCAGGCCCTGTCCTATACCATCGTTTTGTCTGAATGGCGGCACATGTACTCTGTATGAGGCCGTCGGAGAGTATGTCTGTCAGTAAGTGTCGAACCATTTCTGATGCATCAGATCAGCCACCCCTCTCATCCCAAATGCATCCCTCACTCACTTTTCCTCCCATTTATCGCTAACTCTCTCCAGAGTCTGAGACATCACTTTAAAGTGATCTGTGATCTCATTATATTTAAAAATATAATTTCCACGAATTTCGAGAAAACTTAAAAAACTTAGAAATGAATTAACAGACAGAGTGTGAGTAAGAGACCGGAGAGAGAGAAAGAGAGAGAGAGAGGGAGGGAGAGAGAGAGAGAGAGAGAGAGAGAGAGTTTATAAATAGAAATAGAAAACTTAGAGTTAAATGCATGAATTACTGGCTGATATTATAACTTGTACCATACTTATGGTAGTACTTATATGGTCTCTGTACAGACGTCTGTACTAATGGTGATTGCATTATGATTACAGGTGCGCCGATGGTTATATGGGCCAGAGATGTGAGAGTAAGGACATCTACTTAAAACTAACCGTAACTTTTGATCGAATTCATTACAATTAATTTTTATTCTTGATAAAATATATCTCGATTCAATTGTATACTTCAGTTCCGTTTTTTCTATTATTTATTATTAATTTGTTTTTAAATTATTAATACAGTTGTAATGAAATTAAGTTTTTGATTATTGAATAAAAAACAAACAAAATTTAATCAAATAGTATATTTTGATTAGAAGTTTTATATAGTTTTTGCCGGAATATGATCAAAGATCCGGGTCAGTTTAAGAAAACATTTTGATTTTATTGTAGATTAGTTGCTATTAAGCAGTTAGTCGTGAAAATCTAATTGTTTTATTTATATTAATAATTTTGTGATTTATTAACCAAAAATTGAAATATATTTAAACTAAACTTTAACATTTAATTTATTTAAAACTTCAACACAACTTAATATGCACTTAATAACATAAACAATTTAATAAGCATTCTAACTTTGAAAAACAAAATGTTTAAAGCTATATTAATAACAGAAAGTAGAACGTGTAAAGCTAATAAATTGAAAATACAATGAATATATTATAATATATATATATATATATATGAATATATTATAACTCTGTAAGAAATGTCTGTTAAGAGCGCAATGTTGTCTATAATTAGATTAATAAAAAGTAAGTGAGAATTACATTGCAATCGCGGTTCAAACGAAATTCGTGTGAGACTTATATCTCTCTCATACTCTACTTCTATTCCCGGATTCTGGGAATCATTCAATAGATTTGATCCCAATTTTCAAACATCGATGAAATACTAACTAAACTTTTAGTGCGAATCTGTTTGATCGGTGTCTTTATAATATAAATATTTAACAAACTATTAATCCGTTGCCATTAATTGTAGAGTTTTAAAGTGATTTTGAACAAAAAAGCTCTGATTCATAGGCGGTTAGCGATTGTAACAATTCGTGAAGACTTGCCGCTTGTATTAATAAATTAACGCATTTTGAGTCATAAGAAACAATTTTAATAAACATAAGAATTTTAACGAATATAAGAATAATGCAAAGAATATTATTCTTCTCAATGAGATCTCTATTTTTCAGACAGAGATAAGACTTGACTTAACGTCTCGACCGACGAAAAGATTGCAAAAATTGAATCCTATTTCTCAAGAGTTCGTCACAATATTATATTCTTATAATTAGATCCAAAACCATAGCCACTCCTGTCGAGAGCACCTCCTCATCATCTCTATCGCTGCCTTGTTGTGTGTTTTTGGACCCAAACTCGTAATGAAAGTATTGCTTTCACAACAAATATTATATGTATTTTTGAATGTCATTAATTAAATGTTAAGTTCGTTATAATTTCTGAATATTATATTTGTTTAAATTAATAAACCATTTATTAAATCTTATTCAATTGTCTTTATATTATAATTTATAAATATTAATCAATATCTAAATTAAAATCAATGTCTTATTAAAATTGTTATTATAAGTTATAAGTTTATATTAGTGTTTCTTATTATTTAATTACACTTTAAGTTTATTATTAAATAAGTAAGAATTTTGTGTTATTTTTTATTAATTCATATTCTCTACTTATTATCAATTTTCAGTCAAAGTATTAAATGTTTAAGTGTTTAGGTTTTGTAAAACATAAAAGTTAGTTATATAATGACTATAAATAGTCCATATTTATAGATCGTTGAGTATAATTACTGTATTTCTTAAAATAAGTTAGAATATAGTTCTTAACTCAACAACAAATTCTCTTAAATAATTTTAGATATGATAGAGACTTTTTCAAAATTATATTTTATACCCTAAATTAGCTTTTATTCAAATTAAAAATCCCACTTTCATATTTGTAATGTGAATATCGGATATGTAATTTCAAGAGTTTCCATAAATGTCATTTATTAATAAAACAGATAATTCTAGTAAACAAAACGTAACATATTTTTGTTTATTTGGCTCATTATGTTTTAAAAATAACTAATTTTATTTTAAACAAATTATTACACAATTCCTTAAAATATAAAATTTTACTCATCATTGGAATCTCATTGTCGGTTTCATAAATACAACTATAATATAGTAAAAATCATCCAGTAATCAAAAATAGCTATATTAACATTAGCTGAAAACATCAAATTTTAAATTAATTTTATTGCTAATTAAAAAATATTTTATAATTTACTTAAAAGTTAGACATTAATACTTTTGAAAATCGTAATGACAACTTCATCTAAGTTTAAATTGATTATATTATGTATAGTAAATATAATTAGATAGATAAATTATAATTCAATTATAATTAACAATTAAATATAATTTATAAAACTCATTTAATACAAAATATTTGCATTTAGGACATTATAATTTTTAGTAAATTTATAAATTAAATATAAATAATTATGAATATTAATTTTTTGTGAATTACTTTTTAAAAATAAAACTAATGTATTGTGTGTTTATTGACTGTTTAGTATTATAGTCTCAATTAAATTATATAATAAATCAATTGTAGACTATATTCATGAGACCAAATGTGAGACAAATATCAATCGCTTGATTCTCTTGAAAGCATTACTCGATAGGATTTATAGTCTCGTTTATTTTAGTCAAATAGGATTTTCATGGATTGCTTTGAATATAAAATGGATTTTAAGCAAAGCTTTTAAACTTTACACCCTAATCTGAGATTGCCTTTTGTCGGGACGCGTACATCACCATTAAGTCCCCACACAATAGGAGTCTTCGCTTTATTTTCGAGAAGAAAAGAAGAGAGAAATTGTTATAAATAGAGAGAAAACAGTAAATACTTCTTCAACAGTGTCCACCACTAGAACTATAGCCCAGAAAGACTTCCCAAACAATATTCTGTCACTTTCTGAAGCACACCTCTAAAGCGTTTTAAAAAGTGAAATATTCTGCACACAAAATAACTCATATTCACAGACATTCACATTCTTCTGTCACACCATTCAAATGCACAACGAGTTGACCACAAGTCACACATATTTATCATATTTATCGCATTTTCAACTATAATTTCCAATATCGTACATAACTTATTTAAATATTTATTATTTATAAATCTAAATTATTTTTTATGAAACATTTGTATAATATTAAAGTTATTATTCAAAATCATAGATAATTTTTAAAGTTTATTAAATGTTATCTGTATTCATTGTAAGTTACTGTTGTCGACAATAAATGAATAAATTAATTCATTAAAATTTATAGCAGTCTTGCAAAAAAGTTTTTAATTTATAAGTTGCTAGCATTTGATACTTACGGCCTGTTATGATAACTGGTATTACAGTACAACTGCACTCATGTTTTAGC